TGGGCGCTCACCCCGGCGAACCCGAGGAGCAGAGCCCGAGAAGCGGGGCCGGGAGGCGGCCGGGGCCCCGCGCCGCTGGGCTCCGAGCGCCTGGGGATTCGCCCCACTGCGATTCGCCCTGTCTCTCGGGCCATCTCTGGAGGAGTGGCCCGGCCAGGGAGTCCTCGGTGGGCTGGTTTGGGAAGGGCTGGTCTGGATGCCTTGGAGCACCTGGGGTGAGCGGCTCTGCTGGGGAAGGAATGAGCCTTCTTTTACTGTATTCTATCTTGCTTTGCGTTCCAAACCATTCCTCACCAACCCCGTTAAAACGTTACCACCTCCGGGGGGGAGGGGGAGGGCTTGCTCATTTCAGATTCCAAACTTTCTGTTCTTTATCTGAGCCAGATTTCTCTCAAGGCTCTAACTCAAGCCATTCCCCTTCCTGTCACCCACCCAGCGGATTGAAAACCCGCCCTCTTGACAAAGTGCTACCGGCTGGGCATATTTAATAGGTATTCGAGGTCCTCAACTATCTCACCTGGATATCTACCTCTGATCCTCCAAAGTCCTGACACCTGCCATGCCCTGCTCCCGCCCTGCACTGGCGTGGCACATTGGCTTAACTCAAGTCTCACTGTCATCTTCACCAGAGGTTTATTCAGTTTATTTTAGAGCTTAAACTTTACATAGGCTTTGCCTATGGTACCATTCATTACTTCCAGACTAAAGCGACTCAGTCATGGCCAGGCCTCGAACTCCTCCAGTCCTCAGAAACCTTCAATGGAAGCAAAGCAACCTTATCTTCCTAGCTCTGTAATCATTCATTCATTCATCCATTCATCTATATCTGCAGTTTTTCACTTCCTGGGTAAATGTTTAATTCATCTCATTCTTGAGGTGCAGTGTGTTGCTTTTCATTTATGCTTTGTTACTGTTAGTATATAGTAGCAAAAACTGAAATTTCAAAGTAGTTAAATCACTTTTTTGATGTTTGGTGTTAAGTACCTTGCTCCCTAGTTTATTGCTTTTCTGGGAAAGATGCCTATTCAAGACTTCTCCCTCTAGTGGTATTTTAAATTGAAGATATGTTTTTCTTGCCCATTGTTGTTCTTTTTCTATAGCATTGTGCTTGTTTGGTTTGAGTTGGGCCTGAATTTAAAGGGGGTTCTGATTTCTTTTTTCTCCAGGTGGGACCAAAATCCCTCCAAGTGTACTTTCTCACCTGCTACTGAAACCCTGGCTGGGCTGTCCTGTCTTTGTGTTTGATGTGTTCTCATGGGGTTGGGAACTAGATAGTATATTTTCCGAGCAGGTATAGAAGGATCTGCTGAGAAGTTGTAAGTGACTTGAAGTAACATAATTGGGTAAATCAAAGGCAAAACTGGCAAGGATCAACTGATGGGGCCAGAACAGAGGGTCATGGATGTCAACAGGTGTGGAGGACTTGCTTGGGAGCAAATGCAAATTATTCCTGTCTGGTGAGATTGAGAAATGGCCCTTCATGTATTACCTGTTGTTTGTTTCTTTTCACTGATCTGGGAACCCAGCCAACATCATGTCCCCTTTGATAGTCAAGTTTCTTCAGTCTCCTCTTGGCTGTGATAGGTCGAGACATTCCTTGTCTTTGATGACCTTGACAATTTTGAAGGTATTATGCTACTGAAGGTCTCTTTTGAAGGTCTTTTGATACTGGAGTATCCTTGTTTCTAGGCCTGCTCAGCTAATGACAGACATACGTGTGTTTATAGCCACCTATGGTCATACACATGTCTGCAAATATTTATGTATGTAACTGTCTTCACTTAAATTAAGACAAACTCAGTTTCATAATTATAGCTCCCAGTTCGATTTCATTATTACATGGGTCATTCTACTTTTTTCCCTTGGATATCTGTTATCAAGCATTGAGAAATCTACGGTCCCTCTTCTGTGTGTTCAATCCCAGTACATAGGGTATTAGAATTGTTAACTTGTACCCCTGTGGGAAATCACTTTATCAATTAGAATGGAATTCTCTTACATATTTTCTTCACCTTTAAGCTTACAGATTCCTCTTATTTTCAGACTTTAAAGTATGTGTGCATATATGTGTATGTGTATATATATATACACATGTATACATACATATATACATACACATGTACATATATACATATATATACACATACATACATATTATCTAGCCAGACACCAGTGGCTCACATCTGTAATCTTAGCTACTCAGGAGGAAGCTAGCCTAGGCAGGAAAGTCTGTAAGACTCTTATCTTCAATTATCACCAAAAATCTGGAAGCAGAGCTGTGGCCCAAGTAGTAGCTGCTAGTCTTAAGCAATATAGCACAAGGACATTGCTTAGGCCCTGCGTTCAAGCCCCAGGACTGGCACACACAAAAGATAAAATGATATGAATGATCTCAAATATTTTCTTGCCTTGACTCTTAAGAATTGTACAAGAAGTGACACTTACCAAGATAGATTGGACAGGTTTATTGACATACCAAATTGAATCCCCTTGGTACAATTATAACAGTTAATGAAGTAAATAATAAAGTTTTTAATGATCAATTATAGAGTTTTAATTATTTCTTTAATGACAAATTATAGGGGTTTTTCTTTAAAGGTATATTTTCATGTGCCTTCAAGTATCCTTTCTCCACTCTGTCCACTAATTCTTACTTAATGTTGTATTTTGGAGTCACACAAACTTTTGTCCAACATGTAAAATCCACTAACATTCAAACACATACATGTGTATGATAATCTATTTAGTGTTTATTATATGCCATAAAGTAAGATGAGAGATCTTTTAATCCTTGTAACTCCATCAGATAAATATTATAACCATTTTACAGTTGAGAAAATTTTGATGTAGTTAAAACAGTTTGCTCAAGTTTATGACTTTAACGTATGTTCACTACTGCTTGTAGTAAGAAGAGCTTCTTGACCTCAGAGTATCTGACATCGGCTGGATAATTCTTTGGGCAGGGGTTCTCCTGCTTAATGGAGAATATTTAACCTCGTCCTTAGTTTCAACTCAATAAGAACTTCTAGCTGTGACAATCAAAGCTGCATTCAGACACTGCCAAGTTGTCCCAGTAGCAAAATTGCCTATTGTTGAGAACCATTGACTTAGAGATTTATAGTAAAAATGACCCCTTAGGTGGGCTCTGTGGCTCAATACTGTAAAGGAGACAAGTATGTATGGTTCAAAGGCAGCCTGGGCAGGAAAGCCTATGAGATTCCTATGTCTAGTTAACCACCAAAAAGCCAGTAGTGGAGGTATGGCTTAAGTGGTAAGGGTGTTAGGCTTGAAGACAAAAGCTCAGGGACAGTGTCCAGGCTCTAAGTTCAAGCCCCAGGACTAGTAGGCATGCATGGACACACACATACACACACAAAAACAGAACAACTGGCTCACAACTATAATCTTAGCTAATGCAGGAGAGTGATATCTGCAGAATCCTGATTCAGAGCCAGCCTAGCAGAAAAGTCCATGAGACTCATGACCCATCTCCAAAATAATCAGCAAAAAGCCAGGCTGGAGACATGGGTCTAGTGGTAGAGCCAAGCAAGCAGTCTGGGCAAATGTGAGGTTTGGCGTTCAAGCTCTAATACCACCAAATTTTTTTAAAGTGTCTAGCGAGATAGTCAGGAGAAAGAGAAAGCATATTTCCTTATTCTAAAAAATAAAAAAATGAATTCATGTATTTTCTTATATAATTTTGAGGAATATTATTTATTTTTGTTTGGTTATTTATACTGTTTCAATATATTTGTTGTCTATGAGTCATATTTGTATCTTGTTTCAGTCTCTCAAGAAGCTGGAAACTGGCTCTGTATGTGAAGTTCCTGGGATTCTTCTCCTTACTGTGACAGAACTTCATATAAATCATACAACATATTATGAACAGGTGTTAACCCAAGACTGAGAAATACTGTAATCCTCTAGGAGGACAGATTTGAACTACAGCGGACCTTCCATTTAGGACCTTTCATTTAGGAGGCTGCAGCTGCAGAATCAGTTGATGGCCATCTCAAACCCTCAAGACATGGCTCCATCTGAAGAAAGTGAGGTCCTGAGAGCAGATTTGTCCTGGGGACATATGACTGTCATGGACACCAATGATTTGGAGGCATCTCGTCAGAAGTTCAGACATTTCCAGTATCCGAAAGTGTCTGGGCCGCATGAAGCCCTGAACCGCCTCTGGAAGCTCTGTCTTCAGTGGCTGAGACCAGAGATTCATACCAAGGAGCAGATCCTCAAACTGTTGGTGCTGGAGCAATTCCTGGCAGTCCTCCCTGAAGAAGTCAGGACCTGGGTGAATTTACTGCATCCAAAGAACAGCCAAGAAGTGATAGCCTTCATAGGGAATGTGATTGAAATGCTCGAAGACGAAGGTGAGAATGTACAAAGTTAGAGATAGAGTAGTTGACCTCTTCTCATAAGAAGAGAACTTACCATTTTCTCAAAATAGAATCAAGCTCCAGGTCATGAAAGACATTCAGTTTCTCTATTAGGAAGCCTGGATTGCATTCTGTAGGTGGGATAGAGGTGAGAATTTGATCTCACACATTGAGCTTGGAGTAACACAGTTTGATTTGCCTTCTGGATATATTATATTGGTGCCAATCTTGGGGCTTGAACTCAGGGCCTGGGTCACTGTCCCTGAGCATTTTGGACTCCAGACTAGCACTCTTACCATTGAGCCACAGCTTCACTTCTGGCTTTTTTTTTCCTCGTGATTAATTAGAGCTAAGAGTCTCTCAGACTTTCCTGCATGGGCTGGCTTTGAACTGTGAACCTCAGATCTCAGCCTCCTGGCTATCTAGGATTATAGGTGTGAGTCATGGGTGCCCTACTGCCAATTTCTATAGATATTTCCTGTTAGTAACATCTTAAAACTATTATTAGAAGCAGTAGAAGTTGCTGCAGGAAAAAACTTTCTAATATTTTTCTTCATCTTTCTCAGGTACACCTTACCAGGACTCTGTCCTTCTGGACAGCGACTCCAAGGAGAAGCATGTAAAAGCTGACTCATCAGCAGGCACGCTCCAGGTAAGTTAACGTTCTTTTCTTGAGTGGAAATATATATGTTCTTTTATAGCATCACCTCCTTTTACTTTCTTTTGTCTTTTAACTTTACTCAAACATTTCCATCCATGGGCATGAGGCTCTCAGTCTTCCACAAGACCCTGGGAAACCTGCATGGCCAAGAGGCAGCAAGGCTTCATTTCTCATCTGAAAATAATAGTAATAATAATGCCCTATCTTTTTCAGTAAAGCCTACATTTTTTTAATTACTGATTTCCTTTGAATCTACCTTTGAATCAACACTTTCCTGTCCTGAACTCTTTCTAGGTATATATCCCTTGTACTATGAAGTAGTAATACTTCACTCAATTGTCTTTTTTCTCTTCAAAGCCAAGTCAGCCTCAAGTAAGGAACTGTAGTTTTGTGGCTCTTACAGACAAACTATTTAAATGCCACCTGGATGGGCCCTTTAGACAGTGTGATAGCCATCACTTAGAACCCCAGTTTCGTCTGTATTCTGGTTCCCGTTCTATTCTTTCAGAATCCATTCCTCCTCTGTTAAGATTTTGGCTGTGGCCATTGAGTGAAAAGGAACTTGATGTTTTAGGAACCAATAACTCTGAGAGATGTGGTTGTGGAATTCAGCGAGGAAGAATGGGGACTCTTGGATCCTGCTGTAAAGAAGCTGTACAGGGATGAGATGCTGGAGAACTATAGGAACCTGAACTCATTGCGTAAAGGTGCCCATCTGTCCACTAGCTGTCTATGCATCTATCATGACAAAGCTATAGGACTGCTGACATTGTCAGGTTTATCTTGGGGCAGGCTTTCTAATATCACTGGGTACGATAGCACGATTGTCTTACTCTGTCTACTTGACAGTTTTTTCTAATAGCCAGAAATGCACAGGTCGAGGGTGCTTTTCTGGTTCTGGCCTTTGGCACCTGAGCCGACTGCTTTGGAATGGCTATAAAAAAAATGTGTGAAGGGTCATGTATATGGGTTGTCATTTTCATTTTCCCCCTCACCAGCTCGTGTACTTCGGGAAGCAGTTGAGACCCCCTCCTTGAAGAATACGATAAAAAGATGGGTCAGAGAGGGAGATAGCCTCAAAAGGATCATATTGGGTAAGCACAGACAGATACGAGGTATCTGTCAGAAGTTACTGTTGGTTACCCACACAGGTAATGTACAGCTTGGCCTTTCAATAATCGGAACTTTGGTGGGCAGGGACCAGGAAGCATCATAGCCTTTCATTCACAGGTTCTTTTTCTTCTGTGGCAAAATAGTGCCATGAGCTAGGACCACAGACACTTATGCTGTGTGGCCTGGGACAGCCTTTATGTCAGCTAGCTCTCTTTCACATCAAGGTGACACTACCTACTTCTAGGTTACTGTGAGGATTAAATATGTGGATACATATAAAAAACATTATAGCATTACCTGGTATGTGCTATGTTCAATCAACAAGCATTTGCCAGCCTCACATTGAACATTATCTTTTCTTTTAACAAAAATGGAGAAATCTACCCTTGGATGTGTGACATGTTTGTAATTCCAGCTACTCAGGAGGCTGACATGCAAATGATTGAGGTGTGAGGTCAAGCTGGGTAGAAAAGTCTATAAAAGAGCAGGGCTGGAAGTTGGCTGTCAAGGTAGACTGCCAGTCAAGCAAGCACATGGAAGGCTGAGCCCAAACCCAGGTATTGTCAATAAAAATAAAGAAACCACTGGTGCCGGTGGCTTACACCTGTAATCCTAGCTACTCAGAGGCTGAGATCTAAGGATCATGGTTCCAAAGAAACCTGTTTTATATTAGTATGGCTTTTAATAATCTCCATTTTTCCTTTTTTGGGTGTAGAAGTTCATAAGTTCTGCTTTAACTCCCTGCCTTCATTATACCCTCTTTATTTTCAGTAATACTTTTGGTTGAGAGTTATAAATAAGCAATGAATTCAGCTGGGCCCTAGTATCTCAAGCATGTAATACTAGTTATTCAGGAGGCCGAGATCTGAGAATCATAGTTCAAAGCCAGTCCTAGCAAAAATGTCCATTAAACTCTTACCTCCAATTAACCCCCCAAATGCTGGAAGTAGCACTGTGGCTTAAGTGGTAGAGTGCTAGCCTTGAGCACAAAAGCTCAGGGACAATGCCCAGGCCCCAAGTTCAAACTCCAGAACCAGTACACACACACAGGAAGGGAGGGAGGGTGGAAAGGAGGGAAGAAAGGAAGGAAGGAAAAGAAAGAGAAAGAAAGGAAGGATGAGAGAAAATAAAAAGGAAGGGAGGGAGGGAAGAATGGATAGACAGAGGGACAGACAGATGGATTGATAGATGGATGGACAGATGGATGGAGAGAGGGAGAGAGGAAGGAAGGAAAGAAAGAGGGGAAGAAAGGAAGGGAAGGAAACTTCTGATTTAGAATGAGAAGATTCTGATTTCTAGCTTGGGTATTGTACAGACAAATTGCAATTTCTACCAGAAACTAAACCAGGTTGAATTGGAGATACCATTATTTTGTGTATTGCCTAACATAGATTAGATAGGAGAGAATAAAGACAATGATTATTCAGTGGCCTGCATTATAAAAATTAAAAGTACAGTGACTCCTTGAATTAAAACATAAGCATTGAAGGAAGTTCTTTCAAGTGTAAAGATGCAAACCTCAGTCTCTTTTATGAAGTTTTACTTCTGTAGACTTTATGAATAAGATTGCTTTTCTAACTTTCTCAGTATATATATTCTTGGTATATGGACAAGCTACTCATTTTACTCAATTTTATATTCTGCTACTTTATTAGTTTTAGTAGCCTTTTGATGGAGTCTTTCAGTTTTTCTGTATTGATAATAATATCACCTGCAAACAAAGGTAGTTTGACTTCCTGTCTTTCCTAATTGCTCTGGCTTAAACTTCTAATACTGTATTGAATTGAATGGTGTGAGTGACACACTTGTCTTGATCTTAGAGGAAATGCTTTCAGCTTTTGCTCATTAGGCAGGATGTTAGTTTTAAGATTACTAGGTGTAGCTATTATTATATTGAAATATGATCTTTCTATACCTATTTTGTCCTAGACTTTTGTCACGAAGGGATGTTGAACTATATTAGATTATTTCTCTTTGAGATGGTCATATAAATGTTTATCCTTGCATCTGTGGATGTGATATACATCACAGTTATTGAGTTCCATTCTAGTTGATAAGTATCTCTGAGATGAAAAGTTTGCTCATGGGTGAATGATCTTTTTGATGTGTTGTTGAATTTGGTTTGCTAGTAATCTGTTGAGAATTGTTGCCTCTGTATTTATCATAAATATTAAACTGTGGTTCTTTTTCTCTGTGTCTGTCTCTCAGTCTCTTGGGGTAGGGGTACAAGGCAGTATTTCATTGTGAGTAATGCTACCTACATAGAATGGCTTTAGAAGGATTCTCTTCCTTCCAAAGCTGTGTAGTAGTTTGAAAGAATTTCATTTATAAAAGTGAAGCAAGGAAGCAGTGACTTCATTCAGTCATGGGCTTTTCATTTTGGAGAGACATACTTTCATTGATTCCATCTCAGTATTTGTTGTATTCAACAACTCTTTGATATCTTAATGGTTCAACTTTGGTAGGTCATATGTGTCCACAAGTTTTTCCATATCCTGTAGGTCTTCCCGTGTGGTAGCATACACAGGTTGCTTTGGTTCTTTGTAAAAGAGGAAGTGAGTGCTGACACCTCTTGTTCAGACCTCTTGCTCTAAGCTCACCCCACACTTTCATTCTGTATTTAGTAGTCATGGCATGCAAGTGTCCACCCTTCTGTGGTTTATTCTCCCTTTCTTTAAGCAGTTTCCTTTCTTTCAGTTACTATGCTTTTGTATTTCTTTTTAGACAGTGGGACAGTTTCAGAACACCAGGATTCGGTGCCACAGCAGATAGTTTCTGCAGAGGAATCATCCCCTGAAGCAGGGCTTACTAAAAGTACACATTCTTCCCTCCCTGAACGTAATCAAGATGAGCTGTGCTTGCAGCCAGTGAATGTCATTTGTGATGTACAGCAGGGACTTCCTATTGGAAAGAGGTCCCCAGAGGAGCAGAAGGTTCAAAGCACGTATAATTTAGACTCTGTGAGTAAGCGACATCCAAATGATAAAGAATGTGGACAGGCCTTAAGCCTGAGTACACGTCATATTCGGCCCCCAAAACATCAAATCACCATCAGTCCCTACGTATGTGATCAGTGTGGGACAGCCTTCAGCCGGAGTTCATCTCTCATCCGGCATCAGATCATCCACACGGGAGAGAAGCCCTATAGATGCGGTGAGTGTGGACGATCCTTCAACCGGTACACAAACCTGAAGAAACATCAAGAGATTCATACCAAGGCCAAGGCTAGGGAAGGTGACAAAGGGGAAGAAGCCTCTTCTAAGGGTGAAGACAGCAGTACAAGTCGAAAGAAAGCCTATGAATGTGTTTCCTGTGGTAAATCCTTCACCCGCAGCTCCTGCCTCCTAAGACATCAGATGATCCATACAGGAGAGAAACCATTTGCATGTAATGTCTGTAAGAAAGCCTTCAGCCGACATTCATACCTTATTAAACATCAAAAAGGTCATGTGCAAGACAAATCCTGAAAAGGAAGAAATAACTGGATGAGGGCAGGCAGAGTGCAGACTCATTCAGCATACATGAATTTATGTGAGAGGGAATCTTGAGTATACAATGATTGTGAAAAAGCATTTGTCTGAGGTTAATTCTTAAATAATGGCACAGTATTGGGGGGAAATCTATTTGTTGATGGGTTCCAGAAACTACTGGGTTTGAGGTTAAACATAATTCACCATGCAAGTCTTTGCTTCTCATTATTCTGATTTTTTTACGTTTCTTGAGTATGTAATTGGGTCTGTGGTATACTTCTATTTGCCTGATTTATTGGTTAAGTGAAAGTCATGCCGTATTCATAAGGTGGATAATTAAAACTGTCAGCCCTTTAAAGAGGTTCACGGAAAATAATCAGGAGCATATGAGACTTCAGTACACTTGCTTAGGATTAATGTCTGTGGCTGCATAGCAGGCAGACTGTGGTGGAAATGATCCCTATGAATGTGTTTCCTGTGGCAACTCCTTCAACCACAGTTCCTCTCTCCTGCGACATCAAATGATTCATTCTAGAGAGAAACAATTCGCATATAAGGACTGTAAGAAAACCTTTAACTGACATGCAAACCTTATTGTTTCCACAGCTGACAAGTCCTTGGCTTATCAGTCTCCTTAGTGACTAGAATTGGAGTTTCCAAGGAGCCTGGGGAATTAAGTCCAGTCACCTGGAGGCTATAATTCCCACTTTTCGCAGAGAGGTGCAAGTGACTCCAGTCTTTTGTAGGATGCACCACACAGTACAGTTCTGTAGCCCTGGGCATTCTTTCTGTGCTTAACATATTGTGTTGGCAGACAAATGCACTGAGTGTATTCCCTGGACCCTGCTTGGTGTCCAGACTTACATGACACATAAGAATGGGAATCACCAGTAGACAACTATGTTGAAAATGAACTATACAACTTGTGGATGGGGAAGGGAAAGAAAAACTGGAGGAGAACAAAAGAGAGAGTGACACTGTCCAAAAAGAAAGGTACTCATTACCTGACTTGTATAACTATAACCCCTCTATTCGTCATCTTTACAATAATTAAGAAAACTAACGAGTCACAACTGGTCCAGGGTCTCAGTGGGATCTGATGGAATATACTTGATTTCCCTGAATCATTAACCTGAAGTTCCCCTAACTCTAGGATTTTTAACATTTGCTGGGACTTTGATCCTTTTAAGAATCTGAAGAAAACGGCAAACCGTCTCTTAACTCCTGCTCTTTTTACACACTCACACATGCACATACATGGAGAGAGAGGCCTACAGAATTGCAGTTGCTTTTGCATCGGTTGTTGGCATCTTGGATGCTGCCTTCCCCCAGACTTCCTGGTGCCCTCCAGGATGAGCAGCTAGTTTATTTACTAGTTATTTACCAGTTTCTACTGTTACAGAATTTTAGCTGGGCATGTAATAATGTAATTTTAGATTATTTCTCTTACTAAGTTGGCTAACGGGGCTCTGGGGGAACAGCTAGGCCCTGTTCTGTTTTCTTTGACTTCCCTTTCCCAGCTTTGCAGTGAAGTAATGAAAACTGTATTAACTATACACGACCACAAGAGGGAGCGAGTGTTAAAGTTTTTTGTGTTTTTGTTTTGTTTTAATCTCAAGCAAACTGGACTGCTAATGAGAGAAACTTGTATCATATACAAGCTACTTTTTTATTTTTATTTTTTGGTACCACAGATTCCTACCTGTTTGTATAAACGTCCCTCACTAGTATATTTTGGTCACTCTGTTAGGTTATTCAGCTAATCTCAGCCTTGAAATTTTACAAAATTATACTCAGATGACCCTTCTGAAATACAAGTTTGGGGTTATTACCTGCAAAAGTTCAAAGTTCATGTCAAGCCTAAACTCTGAAATGAGATTTTTGTTTTCTTACATATTTTAAATACTTAACTAGTGTTAATAGTTAAGGAATTGGTCGTCTTATACAGTATGATCTATTCAGCTTAAAAACATTTTATTTGGCTATAATCCTGCCTACATTGGAGACTGAGATCAGGAGAATCAAGTTTCAAAGCTAGTCCAAGAAAAAAAAAAGTTTTCAAGGCCCTCATCCCAACCAACAAAGGCTGTGGTGGGGAGAATTTTGGCGGTATATGATTGCTTTGAATGAGTATCTTACAAACAAAATGAATACCAGGAAGTTGGTACATGAGGTGTGTAGGACTGAGGTCAAGGGAAGAGGGAAGTAGGGAATGAAGAGAGGAAGGCAGGGAGAACGCAGTCATAACATTCAAATATATATATGTGAAAATGAAACAAGGGAAATTGAGGGGCTGGTTGGGTTTGGGGGTGATGGGGGGTGGCTGATGAAAGGTCAGCTGTAGTAACCAAAACATCTTAGTATTGCCACAACAGGCCACTGGGCTAGAACAGAATCAACAGAAATAAGCCACACCACATCCACAGTCAAAGCATCCATGTTATGACTGGACCAAGTCAGCCCCTTCCATAAATGATGTTATAAAACTGCCAATTCACATGCTGGAGATTCAGACTTCACTTCTTCCATTCTTCACAAAAATCAACTCAAAGTGGATCAAAGACTAAATGAAAGACTACAAGTCTGAAATCATTAAAAAGAAAAATGGACAAACACTGTAAGACATGGCCACAGGCTGTAGCTTACTGGATAAGACACCCCCCCACTCCAAACAAGAAATCAATGCAGAAGTTGCAAATGGGATCACAACAGATTAAAAAGCTTCAGCACAGCAAAGGTAACATGGTAAGGGGACAACCTATAGAATGGAAGGAATACATGTTAAATAATCTTGCTCATTTCAATCACTAGCATGCTCCTGACATCCTAGCTATGTGGGAACCTGCTGGTACAAGGTTGCACCAGACCCCATCTGAAAAGATAAAGCAAAAAAAGGGGCTCTGATATAGCTCAAGTGGTAGAGTGACTGTTTATGTTTCATAGATGATACTAAAACTAAAGTAGTGGCATAGTGCATAAAAGAGACACACTCCAGGGCTGGATGCTAGTGGCTCCCATCTGTAATTGTAGCTGCTCAAGAGGCTGAGATCTGAGGCTCACAATTTCAATCCAGACAGGGCAAGAAAGAAAGTCCAGGACTCTTTTATCTGAAATTAATCATACACAAAGCTGGAAGTGGAACTGTGGCTCAAGTAATAGAGTACTAGCTTTAAGTGGAAAGAAAAAAACTCAGGGACAGCCCAGGCCCTGAATTCAAGCCCCAGGACTGGCACAAAAAGAGAATTCTGAGAATAAAATTGAAGAATAGACTAGCCTATCACTGAAAATGTGAGCAAAGATAAAGTAGATGTTTCTGTATGAATGTTATACAAGGTTTAAGAAAAAGGAGAGGATAAAGAATAGTGTATAGAAAGAATGATGTTGCATCATTTGCAAAGAAACTGGGGGAAAAAGTCATATGAAGTCAGGCCCAAAGAGATTTTCTCTCATATGTGGAAGCTAGAATTCATTTATAAGTATATAAACACTTTAGGGTAGTATGCAAGTGTGCACAGATGTATTAATCAAAATATGGTAAATTCAGGGTAGAACTCATGGTTTTATTCCTTAGAAAAGCAAATTCACAGTCCAATAAAATAAACACCAGGAAGGCAAAGGATGGGGTCCCAGGGAGGAAGGGAGAAGGCAGAGGGAATGCCTTCATAAAATTCAACACATATTCTACAGATTAAGAATTAATTACAATTAAGAAAATCGAGGGGGGGCTGGGAAGGTGGCTCAGTGGTAGAGTGCTTGCCTTGCATGCATGAGGCCCTGGGTTCGATTCCTCAGCACCACATAAGCAGAAAATAAAGCTGGAAGTGGTGCTATGGCTCAAGTGGTAGAGTGCTAGCCTTGAGCTGAAGAGCTGAGGGACAGTGCCCAGGCCCAGAGTTCAGGCCCCACGACTGGAACCCCCCCCCAAAAAATAAAATCGAGGGGGTAGGGGTGGAGTTGGAGGGATGGGGAGGATGTATATATTTTAAAAAGTATTAGAGTGTATAAGCAGGGTCACGTCATGAGAAATAGTCACAGATTAAGTGTGTCTACTACAAACTAGAGCTGACTAAACTTTAGTCATACATATTTCAAGATTTTGCATCACTAATATTTTATGATGAAAAGTTCACACATTTGCCAGAGTAAAGAGACTGTAAAGTGAGGTCTCATGCAACCACTCAACCATTATGAAACTTTTTGTCATCTTCCCAGCCCCAAACTTCTTCTGTAACGTTCTCTTTCTCCTTTTAAAAAAAATGATACCATTGGTTTGTTAAATCCAAAATTTATCCCATAGAAAAGTCATCCTCAAGTATCTTCTATGCACCAGAATCACCTGGACGAGTTGTTAAAAACAGGTTCTAGCTAGGCACGAGTGGCTGAGGCTGAGTTACTTAAGAGACTGAGATCTGGAGGACAGTGATGCAAAGCCAGTCCAGGCAGAAGTGTCTAAGATAGCCATCTCAAAACTAGCAAGCAAAATGCCACTTTGGAAGTGTAGCTCAAGTGGTAGCGTGCCAGCCTAGCAAGTGAACTGCTTTGAGTTCAAATCTCAGTACTGCCTGTCCCTCCCCCAGTACAAAGTTTTCTAGGCCATTCCTAGAGATAATGATTCGGTATCAGATGGATCTCAAGATTTTGCATTCAAGCTCTCAGGTGACACTCAGGCTGCCGGATCTGGGACTGCATATTAGCACTTTTTTGGTGTTGGTGGTAATAAAGACTGAACTCAGGTCTTCATGCTCTACTACAGGGTGGAATGCTGCTTTTGTCCAGGCCAGCCTCAGATCACAATCCTACCTATGCTTCCTAAGCAGCTGGGATTACAATCATTCACCAATACACATTGCTTGTTTTTAAAACAAAGTCTCTATAACTTTCTCTGGGGCTAACCTTGATTTTTTTCCTATATCCACTTCCAGAGTAGTTTGGATTACAGGTTTGTACTACTATATCCAGTGTGAGTAGCAATTTTGTAGAACATCCTAGACCTGCTT